GACATCCGTCCCGTGGCGCTCATATGACCTTATGTAGTTGCGAGCGCCGTAAAAACCTTGGGGGGAAAAAATGTTAGCCTAAACATCGTGCTTATCTCTCCTCGTAGTTTTCTTTTTGTGTTTCTCTCCAGTAATACCTGAAATCTCCAGCACTTAATACATGTACATTGGGTGGGTGGTTGGCGGGTGCTCTGGTGTGGTTTTTCTATCAAACATCTACCGCCCTTATCTCCCCGTCTTCTTTTTGATGTTTGTTACCCTCTTGTAACACCTCTAATCTTCTGGCGCTCATATGACCTTATGCAGTTGCGAGCGCCGTAAAACCTCTACTAAAACTAAAAACTAATACATTGGGCTATCTGTTTCGTCAGTGCCGTAAAACGCTTACTACTGCCAAAGTAAACCACAGATGGGCCAGGTTTGATTGCAGTCGCAGTCGCAGTGTAGAGTGTAGAGGGGACATGTTGGGTCACACACACCCAGCTCTGGTGACCCTTGCACTTTACAAAATTAGATAGAGCGCTCTAGGGCAGAGTAGCGCTGTGGGTGGTTGGCGGGTGCTCTGGTGTGGTTTGCTTCTTCTTTGCTATCAAACATCTATCGTCATTATCTCCCCTTCTTCTTTTTTATGTTTGTAACTCTCTTGTAACACCTCTAATCTTCTGACGCTTATGTGGCCGTATACAGTTGCGAGCGCCGTAAAACCTCTACTAAAAAAAAAGAGTAGCGCTCTCCTCCAGCGTTCTCAGTCAGTTCTCCTACCCCCACTCCCGCCCCCACTCCCACCTCTACCCCCATCTCTGCCCACTCCCTCCCCTTCCCATCCGAACTCTCTTTATTCATTTCTCCGTTACTCCTTCCTCGCCTTTTTCTCCCCCCACCCCCACCCCCACGTCCGCAAACATCTTCCCTAGCGCCCATGTACAGCAAACATCTTCCCTAGCGCCCATGTACAGCAAACATCTTCCCTAGCGCCCATGTACAGCAAACATCTTCCCTAGC